GCTCTGTCGCCCAGACTGAAGTGCAGTGGCGCGATCTCGGCTCACTGCAAGCTCCGCCTCCCGGGTTCACGCCATTCTCCTGCCTCAGCCTCCCGAGCAGCTGGGACTACAGGTGCCCGCCACCACGCCCGGCTAGTTTTTTGTACTTTTAGTAGAGACGGGGTTTCACCGCGTTAGCCACATAGTCTCGATCTGACCTCGTGATCCGCCCATCTCGGCCTACCGAAGTGCTGGGATTACAGGCGTGAGCCGCGGCACTCGACCATTTTTTGTATTTTTTATAGAGACGGGGTTTTGCCATGTTGCTCAGGCTGGTCTTGAACTGGCCTCAAGTGATCTACCCGCTGTGACCTCCCAGAGTGTTGGGATGACAGGCGTGAACCAGTGCACACCAGCTTTTGTTCTTACTGTTAACCTTTTCTTATTATTTATTTATTTATATATTTATTTATTTATTTTTGAGACAGAGTTTCTCTCTTGTTGCCCAAGCTGGAGTGCAATGGCATGATCTCGGCTCACCGCAACCTCCGCCTCCCGGGTTCAAGCGATTCTCCTGCCTCAGCCTCCCGAGTAGCTGGGATTACAAGCACACAACACACCCATGCCCGGCTAATTTTGTGTTTTTAGTAGAGATGGGTTTTCACCATGTTGGTCAGGCTGGTCTCGAACTCTCAACCTCAAGTGATCTGTCCACCTCAGCCTCCCGAAGTGATGGGATTACAGGCGTGAGCCTTGGCGCCCTGCCTTATTTCTTTAAATACAGTAAACATACTTATTTTATGATCTGTTTCTGATACCTCTAACAACTGAGGCCCTGATGGCTCTGATTCTGTTGTCTTGTATTTGTGCTGACCGTCACTCTGGGCACCTTCTTTCTCCGAGTGTTTTGTGATTTTTTGAACGCGAGCTCGTATTTCTTGGGATATTATCTGCTGCACTATTTAAGACCCAGGTGGAAGGTAGATTCCTCAAGAGAGGGGTATTCTTTTGCTTCTTTCTAGTACTAGGGAAATAACAAATTTGAGATGACAACTACGTTCTCTGATCTTTCAGACCACCCAGGTAATGGGAGTTTGGGTTATAAACCGCATGAGTTACAAACCTGATTTGTGGCTCTTAATTATCCAGGGAGGTAACATTTACATTTAATTTAATAACTATGTTCAAGGTACAAGCAGTCAGGTATCGTTGCTGTTTCACTCAGACCCCAAGTGTCAACATTCATAAGGTGAACTACTGTGGATGAAAAATATTGCTGTCACCGTGGACAGGCAACTGTTTTGAGATCCCAAAATATTAGTGGGTTTTTCTAGTTTTTCTTTGCTGAGAGTGTGACTCTTTGGGGTCCTACCTTCCTGTAGGAAGGTCTCTTATTAGATCTTCAACTTGGGTGGGGGAGCATCAAACAATTAAATCTAAGCTTAAATTTTCCCACTTGACTAGCTTTCCTTAAGGCAGAGGCCAGCTTTAGTGTTTTCTCACATTTCTGGGTCAGTTTTTGGTCCTTAAATGTTTCTTATTTTCTTGCATATCATTGAGCCATTTTGAAATTAAGCTAATTGTTCAAGCAGCCAGGCTGGTTTGTTACCAGAATTTGACCTCTGTTCAGTTCTTCCTTCTCCTTGTCCAGTTTTCAGCAGGGAGAGGTTCACTTCCAGCTATAGTTGTAACTCTCTGAGGGAGAATTTCCATCCTGCAAATTAAAGACACCTTCCCAAAAAACAAAAACAAAATGAAACACCTGGCTGGTCCAGGTAGGAGATGTATTTTCAGTGACAACAGGAGAGGTTTAGGAGGAGGAGATAGGATTGCTGCCTCCCAGTGGGGACTCAGATGTAATTTTTCATCTCTTCCCCCTACCCCCCACCCCGGTGGCCTATAGCCAGAGCTGCTGGACCTGTACACGGTGAACCTGCACCGCATCGAGAAGGATGTGCAGAGGTGTGACCGCAACTACTGGTACTTCACGCCCGCCAACTTGGAGAAGCTGCGTAACATCATGTGCAGGTGGCTGGGGGCAGCGAGGGGATCTAGGGGATGGGGAGGGGGATGGGTGAAATGGGAGACATACGGGGCCCACCTAGAAGTTATTTCAGCTTCTGAAGCTGGCATCGTACTCACCTGGAATCTTACTTAGCCCACAGTGACAATTTAACAACAATAATATAGAACACTTATTAAGCACTTACTGTATACCAGCCACTGTCCTGAGGCCTATTCTGTCATCGCTCACTTATTCCTCAACCGTAGGAGGTATTAACCCCTTTTATAGGTGACGATGTGGAGGCTCCACGAAGAGCCTCGTTGCTGAGTGGGCACTGGGCAGTGGCTAAGCGGGAACTCATAGCCACGCCTCTCTGGCTGTAGAATCTGTTCTTCTTCTGTTTTTCTTGAAGCCAAGATCTAAGACTGTTTATTACTGTTCACTAAAAAGATATTATTCCTGTAATCCCAGCGCTTTGGGAAGCTGACGTGGGAGGATCACTTGAGACCACTTGAGTTCCTCACAGACTTCAAAAAAGTAGAAACTGGCCTGGCAACATAGTGAGACCCTGTCACTACAAAATAACTTTTTTTAACTTAACATTTAGCTGGACATAGTGGTATGCACTTGTAGTCCTAGATACTTGGGAGGTGGAGGCAGGAGGGTAGCTTGAGCCCAGAGGTTAGAGGGTTGCAGTGAGCTATGATTGCATCATTGTACTCCAGCCTGGGTGACAGAGTGAGACCCCATCTCTTAAAAAGTAATAAAAATAATAAAAAAATACTATTGGTATTTCTTAAAATATGAAAGTAACACATGCTTGTTAAAAATCTAAATCACTGACAACTCTAATCCCAGCACTTTGGGAGGCCAAGGCGGGAGGATCGCTTGAGGCCAAGAGTTTGAGACCACTCTGGGCAACATAACAAGACCCCATCTCTACAAGAGTTTTAATAAATTTGCCAGGCATGATGGTGTGCTCCTATAGTCATAGCTACTTTGGGAAGCTGAGGCAGCAGGAGGGCTTGAACCTGGGAGGTTGAGGCAGCAATGAACTGGGATCACACCACGGCACTCCAGCCTGGGCAACAGAATGACACCCTGTCTCAAAACAAAACAAAAACCTAAATCAAAGAAATTAGAAGATCGTAAGATAGAAAGAGAAACTTCTCCCTTCATCTCTGCCCCTCAGTGCCACTCACCCAGAATTAATGACTACTAACAATTTAGTAATATCTAATTGATTATATATTGTATAACATAATATGAATGTACTTTTTTTGTGGAGATGGAATCTCGCTCTGTGGCCCAGGATGGAGTGCGGTGGTAAGATCTCAGCTCACTGCAACCTCCGCCTCCTGGGTTCAGGCTATTCTCCTACCTCACCCTCCCGAGTAGCTGGGACTATAGGCACAGGCTGTCAGACCCAGCTAATTTTTTGCATTGGAATAGAGATGGGGTTTCACTCCAGCCTGGGCGACAGAGCGAGACTTCGTCCCAAAAAAAGAGAAAAGAAAATAGTAGGTTGAGTATACAGTAAGTGTTCAGTAAATATAAGCTGTTACTAGTAAGGGACAGATTGGAATTCCTGACAAAGGGAGCTGTAGGACGAAGATGCAGAAACATAAATTTGTGATCTTTTTGTGCAAAGTGAATACGTCAACTCAGGTCTTGAACTCCTGAGCTCAGGCAGTCCACCTGCCTTGGCCTTTCAAGTGCTAGGATTACAGGCATGAGCCATCGCACCCAGCCTGAATGTACATTTTTAAAAATGTTTTAAACTATGATATAATCTGATAAGTGTTACATTAAAATGAAAAAAATGCTGGGAAGAAGTAAAAATGAACTGACTTCTCCCTGGTTAAGGCATAGGGAGAAATCATGGAAGACGTCACAGAGGTGGTGACCTTTTGAGATGGATTTTGACAAAGTTAAGAAAACTAAAGAAACCATAGGCCGGACATGGCAGCTCACACGTGTAATCCCAGCACTTTGGGAGGTCGAGGCGGGCGGATCACCTGAGGTCAGGAGTTCAAGACCAGCCTGGCCAACATGACGAAACCCTGTCTCTACTAAAAATACAAAAATTAGCCAGGCGTGGCGGCACGTGCCTGTAATCCCAGCTACTTGGGAGGCTGAGGCAGGGGAATCGCTTGAACCAGGGAAGTGGAGGTTGCAGTGAGCTGAGATTGTGCCATTGCACTCCAGTGTGGGCAACAAGAGTGAAACTCTGTCTTAAAAAAAAAAAGGAAAACTAAAGAAACCATTTCACATAGAGGCTAAGAGCATATATCCTTGAGTAAGGCCTCCTAGGTTCAAGTACTGCCTCTGCCACTTGTTAGGTGTATGATTTGGGGCATGTCATTTACCTGTCTATGCTTCAGTCCCCTCATCTGTGAAATGGGATAATGGTCCATGTTTCACATGACTATTTTGAAAATAGTGGGTTGAGGGGCCAGGAGCAGTGGCTCACGCCTGTAATCGCAGCACTTTGGGAGGCCGAGACGGGCAGATCACGAGGTCAGGAGATCGAGACCATCCTGGCTAACACAGTGAAACCCCATCTCTACTAAAAACATACACACACAAAAATTAGCCGGGTGTGGTGGCAGGCGCCTATAGTCCCAGCTACTCCAGAGGCTGAGGCAGAACAATGGCGTGAACCCAGGAGGTGGAGCTTGCAGCAAGTGGAGATCGCGCCACTGCACTCCAGGCTGGGCGACAGAGCGAGACTCCATCCCAAAGAAAAAAAGAAAAGAAAATAATGGATTGAGTATACAGTAAGTGATCAGTAAATACAAGCTGTTACTAGTAAGGGACAGATTGGAATTCCTGACAAAGGGAGCTGTAGGGCAAACATACAGAACATACATTTGTGATCTTTTTGTGCAAAGTGAATACATCAATGTAGCTGGAGAGGAGGACAATGTGGAAGCGATGTTTGAGGCTGTGAAGATGAATTGGGAGGAGGCCATTACTCCTTGTACCCCCAGTAAAGGAGTTTGGATAACATCCCATCTGACAGCAGGGTGCTTGTGCAAGTTTTGAGCCTGAAGAGGCCTCCTGAGTTGGCCTTTAGGGAGGTCATCCTGGTAGCTGCACATAGGATGTTTAAAGAGAGACACTGGGAACAGGGATGCAGGCAGGAGGCTGAGGGAGAGGTCCAGGTGAGGGATTGGGGACCGAAGCGGGAGGAGCGGAAGTTGGAGTGGGTTGGAGAGGCAGGCCGTGGCTGCCATAATTGGCCCCTTGTGTCTCTTTTAGCTACATCTGGCAGCACATTGAGATTGGCTATGTCCAGGGCATGTGTGATCTTCTGGCTCCACTGCTGGTCATTCTGGATGATGGTGAGTGTGTCTTTACTGCCCCAGGGCTGGGGGCGCATTTCCTTTCCACTGCATGGCAGAGGGGTTGATCTCACTTTGTGACTCTACGGAATGTGGCTCCAGCCAGGTGCTCCGAAGGCCTGTCTGGTGAACACATCAATATCCTAGTGAAATAAAAAGTCCTTATATTCCATGGTGCCCAATACTCAACACCCAGATAGGCCTTCGCCAGCCACTCATTGTATGAATATGAATGAGAACAAACAAACAAATAAAAACGAACAACAAACCCAGACAGTTTCACCAGTGAGTTCTATGAAACATTTAAAGAAGAATTAATGCCAATTCTTTCAAGCTCTTCAAAAACATAGAAAAGGAAGGAATGCTTCTTAACTCATTCAATAAAGCCAGACCTCGTCTGAGGACTGGGTGTCTCATTGGCACCCAGATACCAGTAACAGACAAAGACATAACAAGAAAACTACAGACCAATATCCTTTATGAATACAAATGCAGAAATCCTCAACAAAATACCAATAAACTTAATTCACCAAGATATAAAAGATGATACACCATGACCAACTTGGGCTTATCTCCAGAATGCAAGGGTGGTTTGACATGCAAAAATCAATCAATTTAATTCACCACATTACTAAAATAAAGGGAAAAACCCACACAATCATATCAATTGACACAGAAAAACACGAGAAAATCCAACATCCTTTCATAATAAAAAACATTCAACAAACTAGGAATAGAAGGGAACAAAACACGATAGAGGGCATCTGTGAAAACCTCACAAATATCATCATACTCAGTGGTGAAAATCTGAACACTTCCTCCCTAAAAGCAGGAACAGGACAGGTATGTCTACTTTTGCTACCATAGGTTCTAGCCAGGGCAATTAAGAAAGACAAAGAAATAAAAATAATTCAGATTGGAAAGAAAGTAAAACTATCTTTGTTCACAGATGTGATTTTGCATATAGAAGATCTTAAGGAATAAAAAAAAATTAGAAGTGATAAACAAGGTTATCAAGTTTGCAGGATACAAGCGATAAACAAAAGTGTCTTGTATTTCTATACACTTGAAATGAACAATCCCAAAATGAAATTAGGAAAACAATTTTATTTGCAATAGCATCTAGAAGAATACAATACTGACTGGGTGCAGTGGCTCATGCCTGTAATCCCAGCACTTTGGGAGGCCGAGGTGGGCAGATCACCTGAGGTCAGGAGTTTGAGACCATCCTGGCCA